TGTCCAGACCCTGTTCTACTGGGCACTTGCAGTATTCACATATTTGCTGCTTCCAAAGAAACAGGACATGGCAAGGGTGAAAATAACTTAAGTTACTTACAGGTACTGTTGTGTTGCACCCCCCCTTGGGAGGACCTCAGGGCAGGGGAATTGGAGGGGGGCAATGTGACAGTACCTGTAAGAAATTTAAGTGGGGTGGAGTGAAGGGGGTTTCAGGGCAGAGGGGGTGGGAATATGGGTGTGTGTGTGCAGGAGTCAGGGCAGGCAGGTATGAGGAGGGGCTTAGGGCAGGGGGCTGAGGGCGTGGGGGGCTCTGGGCAGGGACTGGGGTGAGTGTGGGTGGAGCAAGGGCACCATTTTGGGAGGGTGTGGGGGGGGGGGGGGGGGGGGGGGGGGGGAGGGCAGGGTCTGGAAGGGAATTTGGGGGAAGGAAGGGGTTGGGGCTGTAATACAGAAAAGGTGAGAGAGTGAGAATGCAGCCAAATAGCTAATTGGGGTGGGAGGCAAAGAAACGGGTAGTAAAGGAAAGTGCAGCTTCTGCAAAGTAAGGCAGACTGGGACACCACTGTTCTTCTTCCCCTTCCCTATCAGGGAACAAGGGGAAAGTGCACAACATGCATGAAATACTCTTCTGTCCCTCCCCCCGGGCAGCCGGAAGTGAAAGGAATGCATGCAAGCTGTGTACTTTCCCCTCGCTCCCTGACAGTCCTGGGAAGGGAAATAGGCCAGTAGTGCCCAGGTACTGTGGCTGCAGCCACTTGCCCTCCCTAAAGGGCGCCTGGAGGGGAAGGGCTGGGGCACTCCCAGACCAGTGCGGGGACATCCCAGCCAGCCTTTTTCACCTGCCTAGCTACCTGCTGCTTAGCACGACAGCCTGCAGAAAGCCTTGGGAGCTCGGCTGGGAGCAGAATCTTCTTCTTGCCGGAGTGTTGCACTGGCTTATTTTCACCTTTGGTATACGGTCACCTCCAGCTTATCAGTGTCACCTCAGACCACCATCATGCATTTCGATACGTTTACAGGCAGTCCCCGGGTTATGTACAAGATAGGGACTATAGGTTTGTTCTTAAGTTGAATTTGTATGTAAGTCAGAACTGGCTCCAGATTCCA